TTTACGGTAAATACTGATATAAAATTGTAATTGTAATTTCCAATCAATTTTACGATATTATGTAATTGAAAGGTTTTCTTTATAAAATTTCCATTCTTGCCGTTTTATGAATAGTTGTTAAGTTTAGTCGGGTGATTTTTGAGATAACTTCACTATAATGATAGCTTAGTTATTACTCTTTTATCAAAAGCCTGATTGTCGGACATTGTTGCTATATCATACCTGCAGTAGCCCTTATTCAGGTTAAATTGGAGGCCCCTTTCTATATTGCGTTTTCCGCGTAACAGATAATTGGGTACATTCCCACAAGTTCAACCTATTGAGCTACTCCAAGTTCCTGATAAAATTCACTCATATTGCGTTCAATTTCTTTTTTAAAACACATTTGGTGCTAAAACATAACCTTTTGAAAGTTTTTATTTTTGTTTTTCAAAAGATGCTTTAAGAACTCAAGTTGAGAGTAAGAAGACAAATTAAAATTAAAAAAAAAAAAACGAAGAAAGAAAAACATGAAAAATAGAAACGAAAAATTTTAAAGGACAAAGAAAAATTATGCATCAGGTGTATAATTTTATAATTTTCCTTTTGAAAATCAACAACAAAAGAAAGAAGAAAAAACCTCACATTAACATAGAGACAAAAGTGGTACAAGGAAGGTGAAGAAGGAAGATAAAATGTTTCGATACACAAAATCATCTCTAAAGCATACTTTTTGCATATATGTAAAAAATTGCGGTGTATGAGGAGAGACTGTAGAAAAAAATATAAAAATAATTTTTTTTCTTACATTTTCCTTATTAGTTTCGTCCTTATTTTGTGTATTTTTTTTTGTATATAAAAGTGTAATAGAGAAAATATTGTAGGTGTTTAGAGATTTTCGGTACATAGAAATAAAAAGAAGAAAAAAGTCAAAACAGAAAAAAAGTTAAAATAGAGGTAAAATTCTGCGCTCTACGAGCTCTGCCTTTTCTTGTTCTTTTACTCGCAGTTTTATTTTGTTTTTGTTTGCTCTATTTAATTTTGGTTGTGCATAGATCGCAAAAACATGGATGAAATTTTTTTATAGTTTTAATAATCTTTATGATGCGATTTGCTTTTTATATTATTATTATTTCTTTTTCTTGTTTTTTTTTTTTTTTATATATACCATAAATGGTATCTTAAAATTTTATTGAAATTTTTGTTCTTTTTATGTTTTCTATACAAAATTCTTGTATGCATGTCTATATGTTTAAATGAAAAAAAATTGCATAACTTTGGGGATTTTGTTTTTTTTTGCATAAAAAAGAAACAAAAACAAAGAAATTTTCTTCTTAAGAATTTTCAGACCATGAAAACTCTTTAATACAATAAAAATCATGATTTTCTTGTTTGGAGAACATTTTATTTTCGTTTCACTTTGGGGCGGCATTCATAATCAAAATGACATTTTTAAAATCATACGAACTTTTGTATATTTTTATATTTTCTGTTTTGAATTGGGTCAGGAATTTATTTTAAACTTTATTAAGTTTCAAAGTTATAATTTTTTTTATTTTTAAAAATTATAATAAGTAGATAAATAATTTGGTAAAAGAGAAATTGGGTATATCGATTTATGGATGATAGAGAAGCAAAGATAAATTTGGGTCCATATAGTTTGCCAAGTAGCACATTTTTCTTTAACAATTATTGCAAATGCTTTGGTTTTTCAAAATGATGTTTTCTTCTATTAATATCATAATATTTGATGTTATAACACACTTTTAGGAGGAAAACAAAAATTATTTGAATTTGATCATTTCTATAAATAATTTTATATACTTTGGGATTATTTGGAATAAAAAAATTTCAATGTATCGAAAATAAATGAGTTTATAAGAGATATTTTCTTATTTAATAAATAGTGTTAGTTTGTGCATAAGGTAACATCTTGTTGCGAGGGGTTACTGTAGAATCTGTGTTGGAATTTTTACGAAGGATTTGAAATGGAGAAGCAAGAGATGAAGGGAAAGAACACGTAAATATCTATTTACTTATTAAATTTAAACTTTAAGATTTGAATACATACAATCGTTCTGTACTATGTGCACTAAGTAAAGGGAAGTAATTCAAATGCAAAGAGAAAAAACTTCTCTGTATTCACAAAACTCAATTCAAATAACAGGAAGAGCTTATACCAATTCCTAAACTTTGAATCAAAAATTTCTCATACATGAAATTAAAATTTTATTTTAATTCATGTTTTTGTATTTTATAAAAAAAATAACTAGATTTTATATAAGAAATTTTAGATTCATATGCGCCATTTATTATTTATCGGTATTTGAAAAAAATTTTGGGGCGCTACACTATATTTTCATGGTATGAATGTTTATGTGTTCATTTTGCGCCAAATACAAAAAAAAAAAAACAAAAAATAAATTTTTAGTCTTCCAAAAGTGAGGGATAAATAGAAAAACATAAAATATTGTTTATTTTACGGGATATTTTCCCCATAAGCGCCTAAATTTTCTTTTCCTACAGCTTTTCTTATAATTTAAACAAATAAAAAAAAATTTTTTTCCTTGTGAAATGTTTACTTTAATAAGAATGAAAGCATTCAAGAGCACAATCAACCTTATTTTCGATAATATTTTTAAAAATTACACCATTTATACTGACAGCTGTCTTTTGGACACAAAATTTTTAAGTTGATTGAAGAGGCAAAACTCAATCTAATTCTCATAAAGACCCTCAAAAAAAATTTTTTATTTTTGTCATGAGGCTCTTGTGTATAAAAAACATATTATTATTCTTTAATAATAATTAAAAATAATAAAAATAATAGTTTTTATTCAAAAAAATTTAAATTAAAATTATCTCCCATAATTTATAATTGATTCGATGAAATTCATGAATTTTATAAACAGATGTTTAGCAAAAGAAGATATTAAAGTGACCAGGTTATAAATAGAAGATATACAAATGCGTTTGCTACTCTGTACATGCGTGTTCGTCTTTTAGTATGTTCGTTTCGATATTTAGTTTATCGTAATTCTAAACAAGTTTAAAAAAAAATTTGTTTAGAGTCGTGGTTAATTGAATAAGTAAAGGGTTTTTAATATTATTCTTCTCCTAAACGGCAAGTTTACATTTTTTTTTAAGTTTTATGATGTTAGAAAGTCACTCATTTCGGCAATTATTTCAAATATCGGTAATTATTTTAAATCGCATAGTTACATAAAACTTAACAGAAAAGTTTTTAATAAAACTTAAATTTTTTTCAATTGTTTTGCCAAAAAAAACATTTTCCAAAGTTAACCTTTGAAATTAAAATTCTTAATATGCTAGTATCAAGTATACAAATATAGTTTTGCTACAATTTATGTTTTGCCCATTAATTTATTCCTTAAATGAAAGGTGCTTTTAAACAAGCCCTTGGTTTGATCGGTTGTAAAACAAAGAAAAAAGAAATTTATAATTTTTATGACTTTCGAAATTAATTTATTATTTTTTGTAATAGCTATCTCATATTTTTGAAATTATAAACATTCTTTTGTGTTTTGTATAAATTTAAACCCTTAATTTAAAAATTTCCAATGAAATTTTTGCTTTGTTTTTAATATCAATAAAAAAATCATTTTATCTTTTTTTTGTGGAAGTGTGCATAAACATTTTCAGCAAGAGATAAAAGACACTTCTTATTCGTCTTTTTCCGTAAGAGGAGCAAATATAATTTGTATGTGGGCGCTAACAGCTCATATAAATTATTTTTTTAGATTGTGTGTTTGTTTTAATTGATAACAATGACGCATAGGTAAGCAAACGCGATTTATTATAATTGTTTTATGGTAAATTATATGCCCTTTAAATATTTTAAACTTATAATCAGTATACATAAATTATAATAACTAATTTAAAGTCAGTTTAAAGTTACCATTGCACCTTGTAATGTAAAGGAATTTTTGTTCTAAATATAATTTTATGTTAGTGACAGACTATACATTTTATAAATATAGTCTGCTTGAATGGGATATTTTTGAGTCAAGTTTTGTTATTTCGGAATCTTACTATGCCGAATGGTCAATATGAACAATGAAAAAATAGTGGAATTATTAAACTTCATAGTCCAAAACATCACATATGTAAGTCAAGATCCAAAATGTAAAATTAATTTGCTGTCTTTCTTAATTTTTTAGGAGCGCTAATGTCTTATCTTGGCAATTATGATGAACTGTTTGTAAAAGCACCATAAGAAAAATTATAAAAATTTTTTATTAACGAGGTTCATTGTACTGCGAACACACATAAAAACCGAAATATGCGAATTAAAAAGTACCTTCTTAATTCGTTTAATTGTAATCGAATGGTTTCTCTATATATACAATCTATATAAACAATTCCTTTCTATACACAATGAACAGACGCCCAAACACTTTATCTTAATAACAGAAAATTTATAAAATAAAAACTAAAACGCCAAAATATGTGTTTTTTTATTCTATTTAATTTTTTTATTGCTCCAAAAAAAAAAAAAAATTTTGAGTATTGAGTACTTATCCATTCTGTTCGAAGCAAAAAAAAAAATTAATTTACAAAAAAATAAATTTCGTTTACCGACATTTTTATCTTTTTATAAGCATCATAAATAAAAAAGTTTATGTGTTTATTAAAAAAATCAACTAAGAAACAAACAACAAAAAAAGCAAAATAAAAATAGGAAAGGAAATTTTGGAATTTTTATTGAACTTGAATTAGTAATCGAGACCAAAAAAAAAATCAAATTAAAAAATATGTTCCGTTAACCGCTAAAAAAACACCTCTTTTTCGAATATTATTTATTAAGAATTAAAAAAAAGTATTATTGCATTAATAAATTTTTAGAATAATAATGTTCCTTGTTGTTGTTGTTGTTGTTATTTTTAGGTATTTGTTTATTTAAATAAATATTAACAAGAAAATATATAAAATTATAATTAATTAATTATTTTCGATTTAAGTAATTTTATTTATTTCAGTGTTTTATTCTTTAATTTCAGATAAGACTTCAAATTTAATTATTACATTTCATGTATATTATCAGAACATCTATACACACTAATATTATATAAGAAGAAAGAACTTCATTTTAATAACGCTTTGGTAAGTGTTTTATCTTATTTATTCTTATAAAAAATTTAATCTTAGGACTTAGGCAGACATGCAATTTTTAGTTTTGTAGTTGTTTAATTGCTTATTTGTTTTTCATGTCGTGTTTATATTTAAGCGCACATATCTGTTAAATTATTACAATTTTTAATTAGCGCAATCGATTTGAGTTGACACAATAGTTTAGTTGCTTAGGTGTGCTCTCAACGATTTTACCATCAAGCACTAATTGGAAAACTAAAACTTGCACGTCTGTCTGAGTTCTTAATGTGAAATAATTTCTATAATTAATCATACAATACTTTGTATAATTTAATACAATTTTATTTTTATTTATTTTGATAATTCAAAACACACTCAAATTAGCTCAGTAGCTCGTACCGTGTATAATAATATAATACAACCATTACTTAAATATTTATTTAATTAAGTATGTCCTAGTCACCTCAAAAAATTTAGTTAGTTTTTAATTAAAAAAGAGTTTTTCATATAGCAAATCTTATGATATTTGATACTTTTTTCTATTTTAGTGTTTATGGCATTATAAAGGACATTAAGATTTAAATAAAAAAAAACCATTAAGTTGTCGATGTTAGGCAATCATACACACACTCATCTGGTGTCATTTTTATAATCACTCATTCGGAAATTTTATATTGCATATACTATAAATAAAAATATGACAAACAAATAATATTATTCAATGTATACAACAACCTATTTTTGATTTAGTAATTACCTCACACTGTTGTATATTATAGGAAATTTGAATATCACATATAGTATTAGTATTGTTTGAGAATATATATAGTAATGTGTTTGTGTAATATACTGTATTTTAATTGTAATTGAATCATCTTGCATTAATCATATACCATTAACTAAAATGAGATGATTAATGGTTATAAGACAATTTAAAATTTTGGTAAATTATTTAAATATTTGCTATATAAAAATATTGAGATTTTTAAAGCAATGTGAACTTTTTTACATAATAATATTCTCCACTTATAACATAGGTTTATATTGTAAGCGTAATTTTTTTCAGGTTCCGCTCTTGTACAAACTAAAGTACAAAAATTTCCTAAAAATTATCATTTACGAAATTATTTTACGAAACGAAGTGAAATGAATATATGTATTTTAATTATTTTAAGGTCTTCGGTGTCAAATTGTGTAGTAATAAGTATAATAGTAAATTCTTTAGTATTGCAAATAAATATAGCAGTTGCGTTATTTGAGAATTTTTTCCCTATTTACAACCAAAACTTTTAGTTTGTGAGTGGTTTGTTGCCCTCTCAATCGCTGGCACTTATCGGTTCATGGATTAGGCGAAAATGCCTACACAACTATAGAACAAAATTATAAATATAAGTGTTTACATTAAATTTATGTCAATAAATATTTAAGTTTCAATTATATTATTCATTATAGGAATTATTAAAATTAAAACATATTACATTTTATTTTTACATACTATGTATATATATATAAATTCATTTTATATATTAGTAACTTTTAATATAAATATAAAAGTAAGATTAAAAATTAATTTTCATTATTTTGCATACACTCGAAAGAGAAAATTTTAATTATACTTTTATTTTATTAAATTTTTATAAATGAAATAGTATTGAAGATTACAAAATTTATTACCAAATATAAAAATAGTAAATATTTAAATAGAATAAATTATTATTTACTATTTTTATATGTATGTACATTTGGTATTTTATTAAATATGCAAGAAATTTTTAAATATATTGAAATTTTTTGTATAATAAAAACAACATTGTAATCTTTTAATATTTATTTGAATTACATATATATGCGAAAATGTATACAAAGTGCATCAATAATTTCAAAAGAAAATATTAGAATTTGTTTTATTAAAAAGTATATTTTAATTCTAATATTTTTATATTTTCAAAAAATTTTCATATAAACGTGTAATATTAATTTTTACTGTAAAAATTTTGCTTTTTCAAAAATTCCTTTATAAAATTAATAGGAAAAATAAGTACGTATAAATTCTACGAGCTTCCACATATTCACATACATATATAAAGAGAAAAGAAAATTATTAAAAGTAGTTGTACTTTGTTCATACTTTCATCTTCTTATAGTAATTTTTAAGAATAAAATCGATTTTTCCACCCACATACGAGTAACATTTTTAATATTATATTTTTCGTTTATTTTTTTTTCTTTGATAAATTTTAAATAATTTTATTTTACAAAAGCTAAATAATATAATTTATTATGTATATATGTATAAAGTTTAAACTTTCGTTATATACATAAAATACTATTGAAATTATAATCATGATTGTATAAAATTTTATAAGTGCCTACATATGCTGTACCCCTATAAGTATGCTTTAAAGAAAATAAAATGAAATTTTTCAGATTTTTACAATTTAAAAAAAATCAAAGCACCGTTATGTGGAAGCGACTGTTATAAGAGACCGAAGCACAGGCAAATCGTTCGGTGATTGTCTGTCGATAAATTAATCTTCGTTAGTATTTTGAAGTACATTAAAGAACTTGATTTTCTAAACTATTTTTGGTTTGAACATAATTTTTGATTTTAATTAAGTATAATGCAAGATTACAAAATTTTTTGTATATTTAATTTTTTGAGTCAAATATGTTTCTCAATAATCAAATTGTGGCAAACCTTAAATTAATTACGTTTTTCGGTTTTTCTTTAATTTTTTGCAAATTTTTTTTTAATATTTTTAATATTTTCAGTAACATTTCAACACAATGATGAAAAAAACTGGATTAACAATTTTTTCCTGCACTTTCTTTTCTTCTTTAAACTTAAATCCAATTAAATATAGAAAAAATAGTAGCTCACTTTTAATGGAAACTATAAATTTTCTTAACTGCCTGAATTTTAATTTTCTCTCTTAGATTTAATTTTTACTTTATTTTTTTTTCAAAATAATTTGGGTAAATCTATATCTGCTCCTCATGAAAATAACAATTTTCTTATCTTTTGCACTATATAGATGTTTAGTATATTCATTAATTACAACTTTATTTTTTGAAAATTGAATTGACAAAGAACGCTTCTAAAATATTCATATGAAGATGCAAAAATATCCGTAATTGAAAAGTTATTTCTCATGAAAAGCTAAAAGAGTTTTAAATTTAATATTTGCGTTTGCAGTATTATATGATACATGGAGTGCAATTTCTTCTTAAACAAAACGATTTGAACTTTAGGAACATACTCGCACTTAAATAGCCCAGCAAAAAAATAGCACCAGTATGTTTTTATTTATTAGAAGAACTACAAAACTTGCTTTAAATTTGAATAAAAATCTAAAAATTTGAATAAAATGTGGGAATAACTAAGAAAATTTTATATAGAGAGGAGTATGTAAATAAGGAGTTTTTGAAAAATTTGATAAAATGTTCAAAAATAAAAGAGTTTTGAAGCTTCTCAAAATAGAATTAAGTAAATCAATACGAAAAAAAAAATTGATTATTAAAGTGACAGTTTTTAAAATTACGAATATAGTAAATAAATATCTGATATATAAGTAAACGTTGAAGAATTTTTTAACAACACCTATAAGATAATAAGATTATTTTCTGTTTTTATTTTTTAAATAAGAGCTATTCTTTTCATCAGTTCAACGAGTTTTTTTTAAATATTTTTCTAAATAGGAAAAAAAATCAATATTGAAATGGTGGTTGTCAGCCATTACACGCGTGGTGCTTCTATTTTAAATTGCATTGCTTTTTTTTCTAATTCATTGCAAATTTAATCAAGCATAAATAAAAAACCATAAAAGATTAAATTTGATATTATTATTTTTTCATTTTTAGGATTTATTTTTAATAAACGTACACTTTTCTAAAACAAATTGTTATGATTTCATGTGAGTCTGAAATAATTTCTGCGTACATTCATACGAGTACAATGTTATGTAACCATCAATGAACAAAAATTTTCAAATTGAAATTCAATTTAAACAAGTTGGGATTTGACCAATGGCTTGTAAGAACAAAATTATATTGTTTGTTTTAATGACATTTGTTTGCATTTGGATAATTTTCATTTGTTAAAAGAATAAAAAGTGTAAAATAAGTAATTTTCAAAATAATTTATAAAAGTGCGTAAATGAAAATGAAAAAGTTTTTTAAATTATATAAAAGATTTACACAAAAATGTTTTAGAAAATAAATATGCACTTATATGCAAATAAGGAGACATTCCTATGGGAATGTATGTTTCCTTAAGTATTTTTAATCGCCTTAATAATTTTAATTTGAATGGAGAGAAAGATTTGTTTTATAAAACAATGCAAACAAGTTAATTGCAAAAGTAGTACATGGATACATAATACGAGTACATGGAGTTCAAAATTAAGGGTAAATTTTTGAAAAAAAAAGTTTTTTTTAATAAATTTTTTAAAGTAATTATTTTTTCTTTTCTCCCTAATTACGGAAGCATTTAAAGTATGTTGACAAAATTTTGAAGGAAATTGTTCATTATTCTAATTTATATTTTTCAAAAAAAACTAAAAAGTTTAGCTTAGCAGATTGTGTTCGAAATTTCAAGTATGTTTTCAATAAAATTTATAACTCTTGACTTTTTTTCCCAATACCTCCGGAAATAATTGAAATACACTATGAAAATTTTGGCAGGATATAGATTTAATTATGACGAATTTGAATTGGACAGAAACCCAAAATCAATAAAATTTGAGTTGGGCGGCTTTTTTTCCCACTCACAGAATTAACAATAACATAATTATTAAGCTGTCAACTACTCAAATCGTATTGTACTAGTTAATGTAAAAGTGAGGATTGTGCAAAATATGATTATTGTTAATCCCATAATGTTTGTTTTGATTTCCACTTAAATTTACATAATGCCATTTGATCTGAAATGTTCAATAATTTAAATGCCAATTTGTTATTGAAATATCCAATAATACGAAAAATTTAATCAGGTTATTTAAAGAATGAAAAAT